ATCTCCGAGGACTTAGGTTATGTTTTATTACAGAGGACAAGTGTAACCAAAAGAGCGGAAAGTTAAACATGAGAGCATATAACTTTAGAGAACAGATACAGTAAATGCTTTGTCAGTTTCCTAACATTCTCATCAGCTTCCCAATGTAATTGATCCTTTAGGATTTCTAACCCCAGTCTCAAAGTCTGTCATGTTTGAATTTGGAAAATGTGTTATAATGAAAAAAATACAATAAAATACCTAAGCATGTCTATGTGGTGAAAAGTGCCTATAAAAAGAAGTAGTGTAGGATTTCTTGTTTATCATCTCTCAGTGAACCCTAGATCACATCAGTTTTGTTTACAGAAGGATGGAAAATATATTACGTCTCACTGCTAGTACTTCAAAATCAACCTGGGATTTCATATGCTGTGATGCTTGTGTATTATCAAGAGTAACAAGGATTCCGCAATTGAAACTCAGTTAATTCTGTTGATATGCGAGGCTGCTGGTATTATTATGTCAGTCATGCAAATGTGTCCAATGGTACCAACAGATCAAAATGTAGTAAATTTTGGCTCTGAGATGCATTCGTGAGCCAGTTTTGTTTGCAAATCTATTTGGTGTCCAACAGAGGAGCCAACAGCCCCTCCAGGCTTTGGGCAAGGGGGGGAGGCCTCCACAATCCTGTGGGGCTGGCCAGTGGACAGATAGCCCTCTGTGCCACCTGGAGCTCAGCGTGCATGCCCCCAGGCCTCAGAGTGCACAGAGTGTGCTGCGCGGTGCTTTGGCAGTGATGTAAAGGGCCCAGCTGGAGCAGCAGCCACCGCTGCCACAATAGAAGCAGCAGCAGCTGGGAACCCCATGCCCCTTTGCATTGCTGGGTTCCAGGTGAACTGTCTCCTCTCCCCCCGCCCCGTCATCAGCAGGCCTGGTATTCAAAAACACTAGGGCTACGTCTTCACTGGCATGATTTTCCGGAAATGCTTTTAACGGAAAAGTTTTCCGTTAAAAGCATTTTCGGAAAAGAGCGTCTAGAAAGCACTTTTTGTGGAAAAGCGTCCGTGGCCAATCTAGACGCGCTTTTCTGCAAAAAAGCCCCGATCGCCATTTTCGCAATCGGGGCTTTTTTGTGGAAAATAAGTCTCTGCTGTCTACACTGGCCCTTTTGCGCAAAAGTTTTATGGAAAAAGACTTTTGCCCGAACAGGAGCAGCACAGTATTTCCGCAAAAGCACTGGCAATCTTACATGAGATCGTCAGTGCTTTTGTGGAAATTCAAGTGGCCAAGGTAGACAGCTGGCAAGTTTTTCCGGAAAAACAGTTGCTTTTCCGGAAAAAATGGCCAGTTTAGACACAGCCTCAGGGTATGTCTACACTACAGTGTTATTTCGAAATAGCGTGTCCACTCTGAGTGGACTCTGAATCGCATTTAAAGCTGGCCAGAACTAGTTCCAGCAGAGCACCAGATCAGGACTTACTGTGTGGGGCTGCTGCCTGAGGCTATCTGAGGTCTGTGCTTAAAGGGAACCCTCCGGACAGCCAGTTCTCAAGTTTCCCTGCTTGCTTGTCTACCTCGATGAGGGACAGCAAAGCATTTTGTCTCTTCATGCTCTGGTTGCCCTCACTTGGGACACCACAGCACCCTGCAACATGGATCCAGAGCTGCTCCCGGGCTCTCATGTAAGATTGTCAGTGCTTTTGCGGAAATACTGTGCTGCTCCCGTTCGGGCAAAAGTCTTTTTCCAAAAAACTTTTGCGTAAAAGGGCCAGTGTAGACAGCAGAGATTTATTTTCCGCAAAAAAGCCCCGATCACGAAAATGGCGATCGGGGCTTTTTTGCGGAAAAGCGCGTCTAGATTGGCACGGACGCTTTTCCGCAACAAGTGCTTTTGCAGAAAAGCATCCTGCCAATCTAGATGCTCTTTTCTGAAAATGCTTTTAACAGAAAACTTTTCCGTTAAAAGCATTTCCGGAAAATCATGCCAGTGTAGACGTAGCCTGAGAGTGGCAGGAAGGGTTTAGTTCGGCTAGAAAAAACGGATTGTTTGGGGGTGTCTATGACATTTTAATAGATTGAAAAGGGTTCTGTATGCTCAAAAAGGTTGGGAACCACTGGCCACTGATCTGGGCTGTCCAGAAAGGGCTGAGAGCGCAGAGCATCAGTTGGGTTTTTCTGATCCCGGACGGGCAATGTAATTCACTGTGCTGCTGCAGGTAATCACCATGGGTGCTGCAAGCTAGAGCGTGGCTGGTGTTTCCTCCCAGGCTGCTGGGGTCAGAGCTGATGTACCAGCATTGTGGTTAAACTCAGATACTCAAACAATCTATTTCTAATTACATTTGATTGCCAGGTTTATAGAAGACAATTACATAGATCAATTATAATTACTATTTATAAAGTAAATTAATGCTATTTGATAACATGCAAAGGCTGATAAATAATGAATCATCACTTTACTCAGTCTGGCTCAATGATACTTATTTCACAGCAGTTTTAATACCACATGCTACTGCAAGTTGTAAATCCCAATGGCAAGTTAAATCAAACAGCATGATACAAAGAATCCCTAAATCTTAAGCTTAGAGAAATCTTAAAAACAGCTTAAATTTAATTTAAATTTAATAGCAGTCCCAACTGATGGCTACATTGTGGATTTGCCATAAGACCTGGGTAAGGAGAAGTACAAAGTTGCACTTTTCCTGGATCAACTTGTGACACAGAGTCATAACTACTCAGTTCCTCATTGCCTCTCACACCCCAGAAGAAAATAATTCACCTAGCTCATTTTCTGGGGCAGATCATTTTTGCCTCCATATCTTCAAGAGCAGATGAGGTTAGGCCCAATAATCATTGCTTATACATTGCCTGTTTTCTGCCTCATGTTATGCCCTTCACTTATGTTGAATAATTAGGATGAGTTCATGTATAAACATGGCAAATTCTGAAGACAAAAGCTATAAACCAGGGGTCTCAAACTCCTGGCCCGTGGGCCAGTTCCAGCCTGAGTGAGTGCATAATCCAGACCAGGACTTCCCGTGGGCCAGAGGGGGTGGCTAGCTGTTACCAGCCCCCAAGCCTCACCTTTTCCCACCATCTACCCTCACTTCCCACCCCACATCTCCTGAGCATGATGCTGTGGGGATTACCATGAGGAATTGCTGTGAGGTACCAGGCTCCCCACTAATCCCCAAAGCTGCGTGCTTGTGGGACAGGGTGCCATGGGGCAGAGGACAGGGCAACGTTGGAAAGCGGTGGGATTTGGGGGCTGGTAATGGACATCCCCCATCCCAGGCTCCCTAACCCACGGGGGAGTCCCGGTCTGGATTGCACAACCACGGCTATAAACATTCTTTCAACTGGACAAGAAAATCTGCTTAATTTAAATGAAAACCAATTGCTCTTAAATCTGTTAGCTCTAGCTAATTTGGATTAATGATATTCCTGCAGCTTGCGAAGAGTTATGTTGAAGCAATTGTACAATAGACCCATGATGAATTCATCCCTGAAACCGAGCAGTTCAGATAGACAGCAAGCCCAGCTAATGGGGAGTGAGGGCAGACTGAGTTAATCATGTTTCTGGTAAACCTGTTGGCAGACCATCTTTCCTTTCATGGCTGAGCAGGTTAGCAATGACGCTCAGATAAGGAGACCTTTTGAAAGTTGAGTATGAGGCTAACTGATCTAGTCAAACTTTATACTGACTCTGGTATTCTATGGAAATCAGTCACCACAGATGTAGGGAGCCACTCTGGCAGCAAACAACTCTGCTCCAGGCTGGAGGAAAATTCCACCAGCATAAGAACATCATAGAGCGGCATAGCCAGCTTCACACTTGTCATAAGCCCCTGTGTAATGAACGGGACTACAGATATGGAGGCATCTCCACAGCCCTCAGCCCTCCAAAGGATCTTGGTTGCTTAGTAGTCCAGGGTACGTCTAAACTACATGTCAATGGAGCCATGTAGATTAGTCAGGACAGCAAAGGGAAATGAAGCCACGATTTAAATAATCACAACGTCATTTAAATAAAAATCAGCTGATTACAGCAAAGGGAAATGAAGCCACGATTTAAATAATCACAGCGTCATTTAAATAAATACAGGCTTCTGTCCTCATCCCACGAGGAATAACGGGGCTGCCGACAAAGGGCTTTGATGTCGGCAGGAGAGCATCCAGACTAGCGCGCTGAGCCGACAAATAGCTGATCAGTTGTTTGTCGGCTCAGCGCGGCAGCCATGTAAATTTAAATGAAGCCGCGATTATTTAACTCGCGGCTTCATTTGCCTTTGCCGATCAGCCTAATCTACATGGCTCCACCGGTGGAGCCATGTAGTTTAGACACACCCCCATTGACAACTGTGGGGTTTCCCATACATTAGACCAGCTCCTAAGGAACAAGAGTAGTTTCTGGTCCAATTAGCCACCGTCTCACTGCAGTCATAAAATCATGGAATAATAGAACTGGAAGGAAAAGGTAATCAAATCCAGTCCCCAGCATTCATGGCAGGACCAAACCATGACAATTAGAAAGCTTTTCTTAATGTCCAACCTAAATCTCCCTTGCTGCAATTTAAACCAATTTCTTCTTCTCCTATCCTCACAGGTTCAGGAGAATAATTTTTCACCCTTCTCTTTGTAATAAACTTTTAGATACTTGAAAACTGTCCCCTCTCAGTCTTCTCTTTCCAGACTAAACAAACCCAGTTTTTTCACTCTTCCCTCATAGATCTTGTTTCCTAGATTTGTAATAATTTTTGTTGCTCTTCTCTGGACTTCCTGCAATTAATCCACATCTTTCCTGAAATGTGGGGTCCAGAACTGGACTCAGAACTCCAGCTGAGGCCTAATCAATGCAGAATAGAGCAGAAGAATTACTTTTCCAGATAATAAGGTGATAAATAAAAGTGTTCTTTGGTTCTGTGCTTCCGAATACCATACGATATACCTCAGCTTTTTAACCTTCAGACTCCTTCTAAGACCCAATATGGAAAAGCTTTTAATTGTGAAGACTTGCTTACCTGGTTAAAATGATGAAGTTTGTCAATTAAATGGCTGATGAGAGGGTCTAATCCTTTGACTTTTAATTCTGGATTGTTAATTTGTGCCTTCAGTCCATTGGAAACAACTCTGCTGGTATAACTAGAAAGGAAAAGGAACCAAAGGTTAATCAGGAAGAAAATATTCACCCTAAAAGAGAGTAATATTTTGCCAGGCTATTTTCATTAGAACATACATACATTTTCCTTAATGTGAAAACAAAGCAAATATATTTGTACATATAAAAACTATAAAATATAAAAAGACTATTTATAATATTTGTAAATGGCATGATTAGTGGAAACAATTCTTTCATCATCATCAGCAGCAGCTTTAACTATTCAAATATCATGACCAATTCCTAAAAAGACCACGAGAGACTTAATTTTTTTTCAGGTTTCTCATTTGTATTTTGGTGTTTCAGTATTTCCAGTTTATGTTTCAAGCTTTTTGGTGTAACTCTAAGGGCTCAAAAGTTGCTTTAAAATTCAAAATTGAGGTTCTCATATAATCACTGGAATCCAGGAGCTTTAAGAAAGACAACAAACACCACAAGACTTGCAGTAAAATCACAAGTTGGTAACAATTTCTCAGCCAGCAGGGGAAATTTTTCACTCATTGATGAGAGGCTTTTCAGGCTTCTAAGCAATTGTGAAGATGAGACTTCCCACTGGGTTTCAGCCACAGAAATTCTGTAAGAACTCCTTCAGGCATCACAATCTGATAAATCACTGGTCTTCCTCTCAGTCGTGCCTTATCTTTATCATATTTTTTGAAATAACAGGCGTGCTGTTTCACCATCCTGGTGAACCTTGTTGCACGAGGGTTAAGGGATGGCTCGAAATAGTGTGTTATTTCGAAATTTGGAGCTGTGTAGATGCGCCAGATTTCAAAATAAGCAATTTCTAAATAGATTTGAGATAAGATACTTAATGATCATAGCTGTGTAGACACACCCATAGATTCTCAGGCTGGAGGAGAGCACTGTGATAATCTAGTATGACCTCCTTTACAACAGAAACCAAAGAATTTACCCCAAAATAATTCCTAGAGAAGATCTTTTAGAAAAACATATAACCTTGACTTATAAATTGTCAGTGATGGAGAATCCATCATGAGCTTTGATAAATTGTTCTAACAGTTAATTATTGTAATAATTAAAAATCTACACCCGATTTCAAGTAGTACTTTATTCTTATCAAATCCTGAAATGTCTGTATCAATAACCTACAGATTATAAAGACAAGAAAAGTTGTCTAAAAACATAATCTGTATGCAGCAGTTCTAACCTATTCTAACCCATATGCTATTCTGCCAGCTTGCAATGACTAGCATATGAAGGAAAAATAACTAATCTGTTTCAAAACTGTGGATTTAATAGCTACATTATTCTACTGATCTACTTGAAAAAGCAGAAAATGTAATTTAAAAAATATTAACAGCTTTCAGAGAATGCCATTTCAATTATTTTAGTTCATACAACTATCTTAAGATTGAAATGGGTAAAAAAGCAAACTGTTGGCATGAATAGTATTTTGCATATAAATATACATTTATTTCTTTATTTGTACTAATGTTTTGGCTTAAAGCATTTTTTTCAAAGTCAGAATGATACAGTTTATTTTGAAACTCTGTATTATTTTTTAGTTGTAATCTGTAAGGGGACAAAATAAAAGATCCTCCCAAACTACCAAAGAAAAACTAAGATGAAAGATGCTGCCTATGCAATGTCCAAAGCTATCTCAGTATTTCCATTGGATAGCTAAAACATTTCAGAGAACAAACCTTAACCCTGAAAGATTCCAGACAGCTGATGGAGCTGCATTACATATAGGAGTGATGCTATTTAGCCACATGAGACTAGGAAATGGGGGTAACATTATCACACTATTCCCTTCCCTGTTCCCTGCAGGAGTTTGGTTACAAGCATCTGATCAAAGCTATGATAGGCAGCAGTCCCATGTATTATTGATCAGTGTCCAGCTGTGAGACCATTTCCCTCGCTCTATTTCCCTCAGGATGCTATTACTGTGAGCAGGGCCACTATATGCCATTAAGCACCCCAGTGTCTAATCTGTGGCAGCTAATGGTCTATGCTCTTCCCGGATCAAAAAGAAACTCTGAATTCAAATTACCAGGCTGAATGGACACAGTCTGAATAATGACGTCAGCTTCTGCATATACTTACGTAGGGATTAAAGAACAACATGAAAACACCACCAAAATTCATGTTTTTATATACACTGAATGTCTTCATTTATTTTTAAAATAACATTAGTATCTGGTGTATTTGATATTACAAGAAGGTCTTTTCAAGGAACACACTGAACTCATATGTGAGGTTTTACAGATTTTAGCCAGTCTGAAAATCAAATGAGTTATGCAGAGATTATTTTGACTAATTATTAATGGTTTTTTATAGACCACTGAATGAATAATTTGAGGTTATAATGAATTTTTTCATGTACAATATTCATAATTTTTTTCTGTAAGCCATTCTTGCATGTTCAAATATTTCCTCTGTCCTGGCAGATTGTGAATTAAAAATCATGTTCTTTTGATCTATAAAAATCATGATAATCCTATGCTCTGTCCTCACATATAAACAGCTGAATACAAAACAATCACATACAAAAAGTTTCCATAACAAAAGTTTCCCCACTATCTCTACCCATCAAGCTGAATAACGCTCCAGAAACATGTCCAAGATAAATCCTTCTCCTTCCAGAAGTCTGGAGAGGCAGATGTGGGTAAGTCACTAATTTTATTAACCAACGAACAAAATAGAGTTAAACTTTACAGTTAACTATCTCATCCCTATCTGTTTTGTGCATCTTTGTATATGCCTGCTCAACAGTAAAAGTATTCTGGAGATATGAATTCCCTTCATGTGAAATCTCCCTTGCTGAAGATTAAGCCCATTACTTATTCTCCACGTCCACCCTGAAAGAAGGACAAAAAACTTTGCACAGTAACCCTTAGAAACTGTTGTTAGGTTTTCCTTCAGTCTTCTTTTCTCAGGGCTAAACACATTCACCTTTTGTAACCTTTCTTCATCTGCCCGGGCTTTTAACTCCTTTTTATATATCCCAGAATATTAGCCTTTTTTGCAGTTGCATCACAACCCTCATTCCATATTTGAACCACAGTCACCCCCAGATCCTCTCCAGCAGTACTACCACTTAGGCAGTTATTCTGCACTTGAGCATTTGATTTTTCCTTCCTAAGTGACATAGGGTATGTCTACACTACAAAGTTAATTCGAACTAACAGACGTTAGTTCAAATTAACTTTGATAGGTGCTACACTAGCGCTCCGCTAGTTCGAACTTAATTCGAACTAGCGGAGCGCTTAATTCGAACTAGGTAAACCTCATTCTACGAGGACTAACACCTAGTTCGAATTAGCTAGTTCGAATTAAGGGCTGTGTAGCCACTTAATTCGAACTAGCGGGAGGCTAACCCTTCCCAGCTTGCCCTGGTGGCCACTCTGGGCACAACCAGGGAAACTTGTCTGCCCCCCTCCCAGCCCCGGAGCCCTTAAAGGGGCACGGGCTGGCTACACAGTTTGTGCCAGTTGCAAGCCTGCCAGCACCCAGACAGCAGACCCTGCACCTAGCACAGCATGAGCCAGCCACCCGCTGCCACCCAGGCCTCCGCCTCTTCCCAGGACCAGGCTGGGGGCTCCCCAGGG